GTATTCACCCCCTAAATCAGACTGTATGGCCTTGATAGAACGGGAAAATGACCGTTTTACCGAGGCCTGAAAAATATCAAAGATTTTATATATGTTAGTTTTTACACGTAACGGGTAATACCAGCAAAAACGACTACTATCGTCTACGAATGAAACGAAATAACAGAAGCCATCGGTCGAAATAACAGGTGCCGGGCCCCAAATGTCCGTATAAATAAGATCTAAGACATTACAACTGGAAGTTTTTATTTTATCTAGGGGAAAATGACAAGATTTGCCAAGTTGGCAAGGTGCACATAGACGTGGTGAGCCCGACTTATTTGGAACAACTGGACACCCCTGGAGGACACGTTGTAGGGCACGATCATGTGGGTGGCCTAACCGACGATGCCAAACCACGGGCGAGGCACGAGCAGACACGAAGACCATATGCGACCGCAGAACTGACAACTGGTACAAACCACCCGAACTGGGTCCTTTAAGAAGCACCGCCTTGGTACTGCAATCCTTAACAACAAAAAACGAAGGGTGGAATTCAAAAAAGACGTTGTTATCATTTGTGAACCGATAAACAGATAATAATGAAACAGACAATCCTGTCCCATTTCCAACGCGAAGAACGTCACCACCGGAATATTCTTCGGACTAGCTCATCATGGCGGCGTCCGGTGTGTCGTGTGCAGTTGCGCCAGTGTGGGGGTACCATGTAGCAGTGTCCGGAGCTGCTCCGCCGTTTGCAGTAATGATGACATTCGCCTGAGCCGGTGGCTGGTCGGTGTAGTGGCGGAAGCAGTAAACCTCCATATACCCATGTAAACGGTAGATTTGGCAAAACGGTGATCCGCTTCTGCCTCGGTCGCCTCTTCCACATTCGCTACCACGCTGATGTCCTCGTCCGCCACCACGCATCTGACGGCCGCCATCACTGGACTGCCGGCGGTCGCGATTCGCCATCATCGTTGTCGGCGATCTTTCCAGCAGCGGTGCACCCCCCGATGGATACTCATCGGAGTAAATGAACTACTGGGCTTGCAAATAATCGGCCAGCTGCAGGAGAGAAACCGGGTTACCTGTTACCGCCAATGAAGCCGCCATTGATCAGAATTCTGGCAGGAGACCACGGAACACATAAAGGTTCTGCTCGTCGAGGGAGATTGGGCGTTCGGCTTGGTTGAGGGCTTCGACAAGCAACTGAGCCTTGCCAAGGTATTCCTCCAGCGTTATGTCCCTCTGCCGGAGTTCCTGGAACTGGCCGAGAAGGTTGAGGCATCGAGCACGGGTGGAAGAATCAAGAGCCGTCTCGATGGATCGCCACACTTCCCGGGCGGTGGAGCGGCCAAGCGCGAGGTGCATAACCTCCTCGGAGAGCACCGAGATCAAGAGGGAGAGGATGGACGCGTCCTATTGCACCCAACGCCGTATGCCTGATTAGCTATAGTAGATGTGGCTTCGGCGGAGGCGGGCGCAGCAATGATCGGTGGCGGGCATGGTGTCTCCCCGGTAACATACCCTAATAATCCTTGGCCACGTAAAAATGGGATGAGATGTGTACGCCAGAAGAGATAATTTCGTGTCATTAGTTTGATCGACACGAAATGGTGAGCGGATGTGAGGTGGTTTTGGGGGGCTGCCGGAGTTAGAACGGCGGTGGTGCTTACGGTGTGTTATGAGGAATTAGTGGCCATCGAGAGAGAGGGATAGAAAATAAAGAAAGCCTATCACAATCTGATACCAAATGAGATTCTGTTAACAACCGAACGTAGAGTCCCAAGATTACAATAATACAGTAAAAGAAATATCCTATACAATAGGCTACAAATATGCTATGACTAATTGTATCCACTTATGTACCTAATATATCTAATATCATATGATATCAATTAGGTATGGTTTGTTGTGATTCATCAATCAAGATCCAGCTCTATTGTCCACACGTACCTCTGATCTGTATGCGTTGATGAGAAGATTCTTGAAGGCAATGAAACTACAAATTCAAGCCTAGCTCAGGAGTTGCTAAGGACGACAGAATGCAATTTCCCAAGCAAAACCAACGAAAATCCAATACAATTGCCAAAAAAGTAGCCACTATGTATTATATTCGCATACCATCACTGCCTTTATGAGCATTATAAGTGAATTGTGATGCTTTTAAAAAAAAGCCAATTTGGAGTGCTAGTGCGTCAATTCATCGGCTTCCATATTCGCTGACAATTTATGAAATCATGCAACAAAGCGATGGTAGTTGGAATTGTGGCAGACTGCATCAAGGTCAGCAACGTGACAGCCGTGGTTTTAATGTTCAATGTTAAATTTTTGATGGTTTTGGTCAAACGGGAACCAATTGTTTTCTGCGCTTTGATGATCAGTGTCAAATTTGTAATGGTTTCGGTCACGCGGGAACCAATTGTTTACGGCGCTATGATGATCAGTGTCAAATTTGTAATGGTTTCGGTCAGACGGGAGCCAATTGTTTTCAACGTTATTCAGGGGCTCCGGGTTCTCAACCTAATTTGGTGTTTCAGGATGGTTTGGGAGCTAAAACCTCGTAAAATTCTCATACTTGGGTTCCAAACACTGGAGCCACAAATCATGCAACTCTAGACATAGCTGCCCTTTCTACCTCGGAGATGTAGACTGGTAATGACACTTTACGTGTCAGTGATGGTATGAGCCTGTCTATTAGTCGTGTTGGTCATGTTACTTTTAATACCCATTCTAGGTCTTTTAAGATGTCTAATATTTTGCATGTCCCTAGCTTGTGTGCCTTTTTACTTTCTGTTCAGTGTTTTGCTTCTGATAATAAAGTATTCTTTGAATTTCACCCTTCTTTATTTGTTGTGAAAGATATCGCCACCAAGGCGGTGCTATTTCAGGGCAATAGTTCTGGTGGACTCTACTCCTTGCCAGTGTCTCGTTCTACTCCATCTGTGTTCCTGTCAGCACAAGCCTTTGCTTCAGTCTGGCACAACCGTCTTGGTCATCCACATCAACGTGTTCTTAGCCGTGTCTTGCAGTCTTGTTTGATTAGTGGGTCTAGTAAGTCTCTTAGTGATTCTTCGTTGTGTTCTGGATGACAGTTTGAAAATCTGCACGTTTTCCCTTGGCATATGTTGAGTCTTCTAGTTCTAGCATTTTTGATTTAGTTTACACTGATATTTGGGGTCCTGATTCAATTCTTTCATCTAATGGACATCATTACTTTGTTATATTTGTGGATGACCACTCTCGTTTTACATGGTTTTTTCCAATGCGCTTAAAATCTTATCTATATGATATTTTTGAGCGTTTCCGTGTCATGGTCGAGTGTTCCTTTTCTCGTAAAATAAAAGCTATACAGTCTGATTTGGGTGCTAAGTATAAAAAGTTACATTCTTTGTTTTGGCAGTTAGGTATTAATCATAGATAATCTTGTGCCTATACTCATGAACAGAATGGTCGTGTTGAAAGAAAATATAGGCATATTGTTGAAACTAGATTAACTCTCTTGGCTCATGCCCCTGTTGCATTTTGGTTTTGGGATTTTGCCTTTGAAACTGCTGTTTATTTGATAAATAGAATGCCATCTAGTGTCTTGCATAATTCCAATCCTCATCTTATGCTGCATAAATCTCCCCCGTCTTATTCTTTTCTTCGTGTCTTTGGTTGTCTATGCTATCCTCACCTAAGACCTTACAATCGTCATAAAATGTCCTACAGATCCTGTCATTGTGTCTTCTTAGGTTATCCTAATTCATTTCGGGGGTATAGGTGCATGGACTAACAGACTAATAAGATATATATATTTGCAGGCATGTATGATTTGATGAGACAATTTTTCCTTTTGCTACTAAGACTGTTTTGCAAGCACCTCCAGTTCCATAGGCTCATCCTTGGGCTGAATCCGTTTTGCAGCCATGTCATGACACAACAACTGTACCTGTGGACTCTGTACATCACGTTTCGACAGCTCCTGTGGCAACTACTACACAGGCACGTGGCCACTCTATAAAGCCAACCACACGGACTCATGCCACGATCGACCACTAGGAGTCGATCTCGTGCTCCTCCTTAAGTCCTAACTGCACAGGTTTGTCCTACTGAACCCACTTGTTATACACAGGCAGTTAAGTATCCCGAGTAGCGTGAGGCAATGGATCAAGAGTTCAACACTCTTCTATAGAATCAGACATGGTGCCTAGTTCCTTCTCGATCAGGTATGAATGTTATTGGGTGTAAGTGGGTCTTTCGTACTAAATGCACGACTAATGGTTCAATTGAAAGACACAAGGTAATGTTAGTAGCAAAAGGGTTCAATCAAGTTCGTCTACAAGATTTCTTTGAAACATTTAGTCCTGTGGCAAAGCCCACTACTGTCAGGTTACTTTAATCTTTGGCTTTATCCTCTGGTTGGGTTATTAGACAACTTGGTATTCATAATGCTTTCTTAAATGGTAATCTGACTGAAACTGTCTATATGCGTCAACCACCTAGATATATTGATTCTCAGTTCCCTAATCATGTTTGTTTGCTAAAACAATCTCTGTATGGCTTAAAAAAGCTCATAGAGCTTGGTTTAATCTCCTACACACGTTTTTACTGTCAGTTGTGTTTAAGTCATCAAAGACAGATGTGTCATTATTTCACTATTCGCAGGATTCTGCTTCTGTGTATCTGTTGGTTTATGTGGATGATATATTTGATTAGATGTGTTATTTGATTAAATGTTGAACACAACCTCATTAAAATTATCAAACTGCAAGTCTGTCGCTATTTTTTTTTTTTTTTGGCGTCCGCCTAGGTGCTAGGCACTGTCCGGCCACATAAACCAACAGAAATAATGATAATTCATAAGTCATAAGTCATAACATCATAGCAATATTACTCAAACAGTCAAAGAGCAATACAACATCCAAGTATCCAACAATACAACTTACAAGTTATAACATAATTAACATTCAACAATCAACAATTTAACATCCAAGTCCAAATTCTAAATTTTTGAAATCCAAAGGGACTACACATTACACAATAGGATCATTGCCAATTTCTTCATTTTCTCCATATTGCCCAATAACACGTTGACCATCATCTTCACATTCCACTTTGTTTATTTCCTCCTCACTTTCCCCTTCCGATTCAAAGTTATCTTCATCAAGATCCCTCAATTTAGCACTTCTACGGGGTTGTAATGCTTCATCTATTCCCGGCTCAATAGCATTATTGTTGCAATCCAATCCCGGCTCAATATCATCATTCTCAACATTTTCCACAATCCAATCTTGTGCTAAACTTGCATCACTACCAACCAACTTTTATTAATATTTTTATCTTGTTTGTTCTTGTTCACCAAAGTAGCATTAAATTGGACAAAAACTAAATTGTTGAGACGATTTGATTCAAGCCTATTTCTCTTCTTTGTATGTATCTACAATTCAAGTAATAAAGTATTAAGTATCATAATTCATATTTATATTAAAATGCCAAGTTGATAACAAACTAAATAAAATATCATACTAAGTTACTAACCCCTTCAAACGTGTTCCAATTTCTTTCAAACCCAAAAGAACTAGATGTTAAAGAAAGAATCTTCATGGCTATTCTTCTCAATAAAGGGGTTGAGACACCAAAAGTTGACCACCAATTTTCTACAAAACAAATTTCATAATAATTAATAAATATAAATAAATAAATATAATTAAGTAAACAATAAAGTATTAAAGAATAAATAATGACTTACCGGGATTAAAGTTGTCATCATTCACCTCACATGCTTTGCTTGTGATATTTCTTACAAACATTCCCTCCTTCTTCTTATATTTTGGTAATTCTTCACTTAACATCTTATTTTGCATGTCAAAATCATTGACGAATAGAATATCACAAAAATCAACAACTCCAACACCTTCAACTTCGTCCAAATGAAGTTGTGGATCCTTATAATGGTAATAAGGATTCAACAAATATGCAATCAAATGAAGAGGAGAGTCAAGTCTATCTTTTATTTTTTTCTTCAATAATGTCAATAATCGATTTATAGTTCCTTGGGACATCAGACAAAGCATGTCTGATTTCCTCTTTTACTCTCATAAGCTCACCATATACAAACCCCATTGATCCTTATCACAATCAACAAGTCGAAGTACTCTCACCAATGGTGCAAAAACCTTCAAACATGCCGTTACACCTTGCCAAAATCCCATACTCGTTACGGTTGTGTGTGCTACCTTCCCTTTAGCTATCTTGGAAAATTAACATGCATCCCATTCATTGCTAGAAAACATTGCCCTTAATTCAATCTTCTTCTCGACTAAACTTTGCAAAGTAAGGAATGAAGATGCAAATCTAGTCACACCGAGCCTCACTATATCACTCTTCTTTGTGAAAGTTCTCATCATTGCCAAAGTCTTGTGATGAGCATAAATAAAGATCGTTAAAGCCTTTGCTTGATCAAGAACTTTCTTGTACCTTGGGAGATTTCCAATGCTTTGAAGCATTAGATTTATTGTATGGGTGGCACAAGAAGTCCAAAAGATGGTTAGCCTATTCTGTTTCAACAACTTTGAAGCTCCCATGTTGTTTGAGGCATTATCCGTGACAACTTGAACAACATTTTCAGCTCCAGCTTGTTAAATGCCATGCTCAAAAAACTCATAAATATATTCACTTGTGTGTGAATCAAGTGAACATTCTTTAAAAGAAAGGAAAACGGTGCCCAAACTTGAATTCACACACAAATTCATTACACTTCTTCTCTTTCTATCCGTCCAAGCATCCGTCATGATTGAGCACCCATTTAGCTTCCACTCCTCTTCATGTATCTTCAAAGACTTACGAACTTTATCAACTTCTTTTTTTCAAGAATGTTTCACTCATCTCATATCTACTTGGTGATTCAACTCCGGGACCGAATTGTCCAACTGCTTCTAACATCATCTTAAAGCTATCTCTTTCAAATGCATGAAAAGGAATAGCGGCCTCATATGCCCATCTACATATATATTCTTTCACTTTATTTATCATTTCCTTCCATATTGCACCATCAATACGTTGTTGTTGCAATGTCTTTCCTAAATTCATGAAAGGTTCGGGATTGATACCACTTGCAAACTTATCAATTGGGCCAAGTGAACGTGGTGGCTTCATAGATCCAAGAAACCCTTGAAAGTCCTCAACATCAATTGACTCACTTCTACCATCAATATTCACCTCGGCTTTTAAATTATCTTCATTAGCTTTTTTATTTTTCCTTCTCATCTTGGCTTCATTGATTGCATTTCTACACTTAAGTTGATCATCTTTAATAGCTTTAGAACATGGAGCAACATTTCCGTGTATATGAGCAACTAGTATTTTCTGATGCGCAATGCGCAAAAATTAGGTGCCCAATATTAGTATTTTATATTAAGATTTTTAATATTTAAATAATAATAATAATAATAATAATAATAATAATAATAATAATAATAATAATAATAATAATAAAAAAAGTGTAAACATTTTTATACATTTGATATTTATATTGTAGGAAATAACTCCAAATTATAATGTATAAATATTATTATTATTATTGAATAAGATAAGAAAATATATGGTGGATGCATGTGCATGGTAACAATAGTGGAAAAGATAACGGAAGTTATAACCATAAGGGTATGTTTGTCCAAAATATTATAAAGTACAACCTTTATAGCATAATGTATAAAAAAAAAAACTTAAAGGAAAAAACGGACATAAATAAATGGTATAACTTTCATTCACACTTATTATGTTTTTAGATATGCTCTTTTATTCGATACACTCCACTGGATAAAACTTTCCCGCACAACAAGCATTTTACTTTATTCAAAATTTTCCCATCAACTAAAATACCATAATCCCACCCTACATCATTTGATCTCCTTTTAAGTGTGAATGCTTCAAAAGATCCACCACTTTGAGTAACCGAAGCACTTGATGAAGCCATTATAACTAAAAAAACATACACAATAAATGTATAATTCAATTGACATATACAATAAATAAGTTTATAATCTAAAATTTACCATGTTCAAAAAGTCCAAAAAATGACCATTTTCAAATTATACATTGCCTAGTTGCTGCCAAATATTTCCAAATCTCACAAAAAAAAATTACTTTTATGATTTTAAGCATCCAACATCTATTAGTAATCATCATTGAATCATAAACTACATTTATATAAGTAAGAAAAACTAAAATAAAACTACAAGTAGTCAAGCACACAAGCTGAGAAGTGTAGAACACACGACGAGAACAGACAGCGACGAAATTGAATTTCTTTTGTTGAAATTTGTTATTTGTGCGACTGTGCGAGAGACAAGCAAAATGAAAACATAAAAATTGAATTTTTATTGTTGAAATTCGTGAACTTACAGAGTCAAAGAAACACACGGCGACGGAATTGAAGGCTAGAGCTTCGATGACGACGGACGGTTGGAGCTTGACGGCGACGGGCGACGGACGACGGCTTCGATTGAGTCTCGGCTCTTGCAATCTCCCGTCTCGCACTCTCGGTCACTGACTTAGAGAATAGGGTTAGGAAATCAAATTTACGAATCAAATTTTTTTTAATTGGGTTTTTCGCTCAAAACGACGTTTTTGAACGAAAAACTCAATTAAAAAAATTGAATTAACTCGGCCGATTTAGCCAAAATTGACCGACTCAGTCCCTGCCTACGCAGCCGGCTGAGTTTTGGCCGACTATAGGCCAAAACAGCAAGGAATGGCGGCGTCTAGCGCCTATGCGGCCGCCTAGGCTGAGTTTTACAACCTTGATTTTATTTCAACGAAAGATCAACTTGCTGATATATTTACAAAAGCTTGGTTCTAGATTTTCTTTTCTTGGAGACAAGCTACTGGTTACTAGTTTACCCCGTGCTTGAGGGGAATATTAGGACTCTATATATTTGAGTTAGATTATGACTCTTTATCCTAGTCTCCTTGTAATTCCCTCATTATATATATTCATATATCATGTATCTTTATAATTAAATTTATTCAATACAATTCATTCAGTTCTCATCCTCAACATATTAGTTTTTTAAAATGGAACATAAGTCACGATTTATTCAATTGGTTGTCAAAATTCAAGATATGGACACATATTCCACACTATTCCATCTAAAGCCAAACCTTGAAATGAAAGGACGAAAAGGAAAATAAGAAGCACTAATGGAAGCACATACACAGACAATTCACACTTAGCTTTCAAACGAACTTATCCAAATAGAAGCAACATTATTGTCTTGTTAGAAAAGCAAGCCTGTGGCCTAGGCTTTCCCTTTCAACAAGCCTGCACTTTTCCAGACACTGAGAAAAAGTGTATTTATTTAATCAATTTTTAAAAAGTGATTCTAGCCCAAATCACTCCCCCAACCACTAATGTTAAACCTCATTAAAATATTTAGGAAGACTTCGGGTTGGATTTTTTTCATTTTATTTTTATTTTTATTTTTTGCTTCCTTTTAGGGCCTTTGGTTCCCTTGTCTTATATTTTAATCCCAATAATAATTTGTTGTTGTTCCTTAATATATATTTGTGTGTACATCCACTAGGGACACTCTACTATATATTCCACATTATATATTATACATATACAAACACCGCTTTACACATAGAGATGAGTCAGCTTAACGTCTTGGCCACAAATGCATTTCATTCTCATCCATGTTACACGTCTTGAGCATTTGACGGCAAATTATGCTGTGCATCCGTATGAACCATGCATGGTGCATACGGATGCAAAAACGACGTCGTTTTAATAAAACGTGCGTCTCCCCTTAAAAAAAAAAAATCAGGTTTGATTCCCAGCAACAACATATGAACTAAAATTCCATAATCGATGAACTAAAATTCCATAATCGATGAACTAAAATTCCATAATGGATGAACTATAATTCCATAATCGATGAACTATAATTCCATAATCTAATCTATGAATTAAAAATTCCAGAATGAATGAACTAAAATTCCATAATCTATAAACTAAAATTTCAGAATCGATGAACTACAATTCCATAATCGATGAACTATAATTCCATAATCAATGAACTATAATTCCATAATCTATGAACTAAAATTCCAGAATGAATGAACAATATAATGTTGTTGCTGGAAATCGAACCTGAATTTTTTTTAAAGGGAAGACGCGCGTTTTTTAATAAAACGACGTCGTTTTGGCATCTGTATGCACCATGCATGGATGCACAGCATAACGATTGGCATTTGACAGTCTTGGACACCACCGCTATCATTATATATATATATATATATATATATACATACTAATAAGAGCCCAAGAGAGTTAGGCCTATAATGAGTAGAAAAAATGGCGGTAAAATTTTTTAATCAAATGAATGGCTGAGATTGATCAGATTTTTATTTTTCCTTAATATTTCCTAATTTATCCTTAATAAATATAATTATCTGTTAACTTTTCCGTTAAATATTATCTTTTCCGTTAATTTCTCTTAGTTTACCGTTAACTTACTCATTGATTTCAATAAGAAAGGCCCCAAGTTCGAACCCCAACCCAATCAAAGTTGGCATAATTAGTACTCTATTTTACTCTTATTATTAAATTAAACTAGTTCTTTTACGCGCTTTGCGCGAATGGAATAATGCGCAATGATTATTTTTAAATAAGTATTTCAAAATATATCAATATAATATTATATGAGTAAATACCAATTTTGATCCCACGAGTATTAACAAAATAACGATTTTGGTCCACATGTTTAATTCCTACCAATTTTCATCCACGACTATTATTTTAGTACCAATTTTCATCCATGACTATTATTTTAGTACCAAAATTCATCATGCTGGTCGCCCCTCCATTTAAGACATGCCAAAATATGAAATTATTAAGGGTATTTTCGTCCTTTTCAAATTAAGATCCCAATTTGAGCATGAATAAAGTGATTTAAGCACTAAGATCTATCTCAATTCGTAGTTCTCCTCCTCAAATTAAGGTATGATGAGGAGGTGAACTGCGGATTGTGATCGATCTTAAAGCTTAAATCTCTTTATTCATGCTCAGATTAAAATCTTATGTTGAAAATGACGAAAATGCCCTTAATAATTTCATATTTTGGCATGTCTTAAACGAAGGGGTGACCGACGTGATGAATTTTGGCACTAAAATAATAGTTGTGGATGAAAATTGGTACTAAAACAATAG